ATCACCCTATACCTGATGATTGGGAGCTAACTGACAAACTACCTGATGAGGACGCAATGGTCGTTGAAGTTCAACCTCCATGGAAGATGTACTTTGATGGTGCTGTGCATCGTGGAGGAGCTGGTGCTGGTGTAGTATTTGTCACTTCCCAAGGTGAAGTCTTGTCCTACTCCTTCACCTTAATACAACTCTATTCCAACAATGTTGCTGAATATCAAGCATTAATACTTGGGCTTGAAATGGCTGTTGATATGAAGCAATTGCAATTGCAAGTCTTTGGTGACTCCCAGTTAGTGGTCAATCAACTTTTAGGTAGTTACGAGGTCAAGAAGCCTAAACTACGCCCATATCATGATTACGCTAAAAAATTAATGGGGTGGCTCGGTGATGTGACTATTCAGCATGTGCCAAGGAAAGAAAATAAGAAGGCTGATGCTTTAGCTGCCTTAGCTTCATCGTTAACCCCTGCCTGATCAAGCGCAAGTTACTGTCTACAAAAAAGGGGTAGTACCGCCACCAAATGAGGTTAAAGGTGAAGAAAATAAACTCAAGCATCTTGTCGCTGTTTCTGAAGTTGAGAAAGAAGAATGGCGACAACCCATTATCGACTACTTATGCTATGGGACCAGAAAATCAGAGGAGAAGGACTGAAATCCGTCGTCATGCACCTCACTTCCTTTACTACAAAGATACTCTATACAGAAGGTCATTCGAGGGAGTACTCTTGCGTTGCTTAGGGGAAGAAGAAGCAATCCAAGCTTTGCAAGAGGCACATTCTGGGGTATGTGGGTCACACCAGTCTAGACCAAAGCTCTACTTCCATATAAAAAGGATGGGATATTATTGGCCAACGATGGTAAAAGATTACTTAGACTACGCTCGAAGATGCAAGGCTTGCCAATTCCATGAGAATTTTATTCATCAACCTCCTGAAGTGTTGCACCCAACTGTTGCATTCTGGCCGTTTGACGCTTGGGGATTGGATGTTGTTGGACCACTGCCAAAGTCCTCTGGTGGGCACCTATACATCTTGGCTGCAACTGACTACTTCTCAAAGTGGGCTGAAGCTGTTGCTCATAATAAAGTAAAGAAGGAAAATGTTGCAAGTTTTATCCGAGTAAACATTATTTATCGCTTTGGCATTCCTCGTTACATAATAACGGATAATGGAAAGCCATTCGATAATAGGTTGATGAACAAGATTTGTGTTCTCTTTGGCTTCAAGCGATGTAACTCTTCTATGTACAATGCTGCCGCCAATGGTCTAGCTGGGGCATTCAACAAAACTCTATGCAACTTGTTAAAGAAAGTCATCTCCAAATACAAACAAGATTGGAGTGACCATATGGAAGAAGCTCTATGGGCATATAGGACGACTCACCGTACGCCAACACAAGTGACTCCTTATTCACTCATTTATGGAGTCGAAGCCGTCTTGCCACTCGAGCGTCAAATACCTTCAAGAAGGCATCACTGATGAAGAAAATGCTCGACTTCGATTAGCAGAGTTGGAGGCTCCTAATGAGAAAAGGTTGGAAGCTCAATAGAGTCTTGAATGTTATCAAGCTTGATTGTCTCGCGCCTTCAGTTAAAGAGTTCGCCCAAGATCCTTTCAAGTAGGAGATCAAGTCCTTGACATAAGAAGACCCATTATCACTTCCTATAAACCTGTAGGGAAGTTCACCACAAAATGGGATGGGCCATATGTCGTGCAAGAAGCTTATTCAAGTGGGGCTTACAAGCTTGTTGATGCAGATGGTATGAGAATCGGCCCAATCAATGGCAAGTTTTTGAAGAAGTATTATCCTTGAAGTTGCAACGCTCCTTGACGCATGAGCCTAAACTGCGTGTCCTACACTCCTGGCCCGCATGATTCCAAACTGTGTATGGCCCACAAAAAAAGAAAAGTTCGCTAGGTTGAAAACCTCGAAAGAGGCGGCCTAGGCAAAAGTTAGGACATAAAATAAATAAATAAAAAATCTCCCATTCTGAACTACGGTATGACTTGATCCTCTTCACAGAGGTACATAGGCAGCTTAGAGTTTCATTCTGAGTTCAGTCGCATAAGTCCAAAAGATACATAATCCCCCAATCGTCGTTCGAATGAAGTACGATGGAGTGTAATCCATTCAATCGGCACTTGAAAATCGAGCTCAGATACCATTCTTCTGTTAAAATTTAGATCCCACTCGATTTAAAGGGGGCAAGCCGCTATGGCAAATTGATGTCTTCAATAAAATGATTAATCTCTTTTAGGAGGCCGCCAAGCATTTGCATTGAAGTCCGCGGATTTGCTATGCCTTCATGTTCGCCAAACCTTCAAGTTTTTTGGTGAGCCTTCACGACGTTTCAAATTCAGTGACACTTGAACCCAAGATATTTGGTGAAATTAAGCTCTTGAATTTCAATTTTTGGCAATTAAAAAGGTCTTGCGATCTTGAGGCTTCCACATCAAGATACAAACTTTTGGTGAAGTTATGCTAATTTGGGATTGTTGACATATCAGAAACCAAAGTCGATTTCGAACTATCATCTGAAACAATCCTTAATCCATTAAATTATAAATTTTGGATATGTCGTAGATCTTGAAGTCTAGTTTTCATAAAATCAAGCGGTTTGTGATTTAGACGTCCCTACTTCAAGAAACAATATTTTTAGTGAAACTGCGCAAATCTGAAACTATCAACGTGTTAGAATTTAATGTTAGATTCAAAATAATATCTGAGATGATTCTCAAAGTATTTGATTTCGGATTTTGGATATGTCTTAGATCTTGAAGTCTAGTTTTCATAAAATCAAGCGGTTTGTGATTTAGACGTACCTACTTCAAGATACAATATTTTTGGTGAAACTGTGCAAATCTGTAAGTATCAACGTGTCGGAATTTAAAGTTAGATTCAAAATAATATCTGGGATGATTCTCAAAGTATTTGATTCCTAATTTCGGATATGTCTTAGATCTTGAAGTCTAGTTTTCATAAAATCAAGCGGTTTGTGATTTCAACATCCCTACATCAAGATACAATTTTTTGGTGAAACTGCGCAAATCTGAAACTATCAATATGTTGGAATTTAAAGTTAGATTCCAAATAATATCCGGGACGATTCTCAAAATGTTTGATTCCGAATTTTGAATAAGTCTTAGATTTTGAAGTCTAGTTTTCATGAAATCAAACGGTTCATAATTTTGACATTTCTACAGCAAGATATTAATTTTTCAATGAGACTGCACAAATCCGAAATTTTCAACATGATGGAATCTAAAGCTGATTTCAAAGTAGTATATGGGGCGATTATGAAGGTGTTTGTCTAAGTTTTGGATATACTTTATATATTGAAGTCTAATTTTCTAGAAATCAAACGGTTCATTATTTGGACTCTCACACGACAAGATGTGAATCTTTTGTTACAAGCACATAAAGCTTAAAATTATGCGACTAAGATAAAATCGGACAATGTAAAGCAAAAGAGAAGTTGAAATATTTAAACCCTCCAAATCTCCAAGTTGAAGTCTTCAAGTTCGCCACTCTTCAAGTTGAAATATTTAAACCCTCCATGTCTCCAAGTTGAAGTCTTCAAGTCCGTCGGTCTTCAAGTTTCAATCTTCAAATTCGCCGATCTTAAAGTAGAATTGTTTAAGCCCTTCAAATCTTCAAGTTGAAGTATTCAAGTCTGCTAATTTTTCAAGTTGAATTTCAAAAGTCAACTGCTCTTCAAGTTGAAGTCTACAAAGTCCGCCAAATCTTCAAAGTTTTCCCAGGATTCAAGTCGATGTCGTCAAGTCGGTGTCGTCTTCGAGTTGAAACTATAACTTTCCAATCTTAAGGTGGGCATATAAGTCCCTTTGCATCTTAAGTTGACCTCTTCGTGGGTTTGTCCTTAAAATGAACTATAACTTTCCAATCTTAAGGTGAACGTATAAGTTCCTTTGCACCTTAAGTTGGCCACTTCATGGGTTTGTCCTTAAAAGAAACTATAACTTTCCAATCTTAAGGTGGACATATGAGTCCCTTTGCACCTTAAGTTGTCCTTTCCGATAGTCGGATCATTTTGAGAGTAATCTCTCCGGTAGTCAGGCCACATTGAGAGTAATCTCTCCGGTAGCCGGGTCATTTTGAGAGTAATCTCTCCGGTAGTTGGGCCACATTGAGAGTAATCTCTCCGGTAGTCGAGCCACATTGAGAGTAATCTCTCCGATATTCGGGCAAGGATGAGTACCCATCCCCTCACACCCTATGATTGTCTTCTGCGTACATGGATCATCTCGTTGAACAAGAGCATATTCCTTCTCGTTTGACCTGTAAAAAAGACGAAGGAAGAAAAGAAGAAGAAATTACCTTCGTGTCAATGCTTCCGAGTCCATAAAACTAGACTCAAGTGGCTTGCGAAGACTGCGAATTGATGCTTAATAATTACGAGCACATGAGTTTATATAGGTTTAAAAGATGGCATGGAAGATTTATTCCCGATGTGGGATCAACTGCGAGGGTGGCTGGAACTAGAATTTGTTCCCAACACGAAAAGGGAATCGGTAATGGTAGGGAGAGAGAACTCTTATTGATTTGGGATAAATTACAATGAAATAAAACTCCTCTATTTATGGGGAAAAGTGACTTAGCCACCAAATAATAAACCTAAAATCTCTCTCAAATACAATTCTATTTATAACACGAAAGCATTTCATTCATTTTAGATACTCCTATCTCACACGTAAGAGTAAATAAAATCATGTGTCAGATAGAGAAAAAAAAAGCTGAGACACCATTCATTCAAACTCAATTATACGTCCATAATTGGCGTCACTTCTTTTGGCCTTTTTTAATCTCTTTTGATTTTGACCCCATCAAAACTTTCTCCGATCCCCACTTTCTTTCTTCATCATTCCTTCACTTTTCTCCCTCGTTTTCCTTGCTTTCCAAACAACAAGAAAATTTAAACTTTTTTTTTGGCAATCACAACAATTAGAAGGTGCGCCACATTTACCTGCCATATTTACTTTTCTTGGGCTGTGTTTGAATCTTTTTTGTTACTACAGTACTAAATAATTATAGATCTGAGATTGATTCTTCAATCTTGTCAACTATGGCGTGTGGGAATGTGGATTTTTGAATTTTCTTTTCAAGCTGTTGTCAATTGACTTCTTGTGGGACTTGCATTAACTTTCTAAAATAGTGTTACTATTTTGACTTTATCGTAGTCATTTAGTGGGCCTTCCCCTAGGACTAGAATACACGGAATTCCCTATTCCACAATTTCCTTTTTGTCAATTCTAAAGTTTGCTTTTCGAGAAATTATTTCGTTCAAAAAGTCTTAGTAGTTTGGTAAATATGCAGTTTTGGTTTAATCGCTGCTTTCTATGGAACAGGTTGTAATTACTTGATTGCCAAGGACTTAACAAGCTTGTTCTGGGGGTAAGAGGGCATTGATTCAGTCTGTTTTAGATTATATTCTAACGTACTGAAAACCCATCTTTCTTGCTTAGCTGTTTCTTAGATTCTTGAGCAAATTTCAGTGTTTTACAGAGCACAATTACAAAGAACAGGTCATATGAGAAAAGTGTAATTTTTTTCTTTTGGTCATATTGTATTGAAGAAATTGACAAGTTTCAAGAATTGGGTCAATCTTGAATTTTGCTGAAGCTATTTGGTAGAGTGTTTTTCTGATAGTTTTTTAAGTTTATTGAAGAAGATATTATCTTGGTTGTGCAAGAAAAGAAAAGATGGGTTCTTTTCCTGGGCATGTTCTACCTGGAACACTGTTTCTTGTGGTTGGTGTGTGGCATATATGGTGTGCTCTGGTTAGATATTCATCAAATCCCAAGTCATTCAGGGTAAGGGTTTGGAATCCTGTTCCAGGTTTTGATGGGAAGCTGAAATATTTGGAACTTTATGTTATAGCTATTGGTGGTTTTATTGATTTTTGTATTGAGCTCTTCTATTCAACCCACCTCAAACTTTTTGTTCATGGGGTTTTGAATCCTACTCATATGAATAACTTTGAGCATGCTGGGATGCTTCTCATGTTCTTCGTCTTCGGTTTGATTGTGCTCCTTTCCGAGAAAACCAGGTTAGTTTTTCTGTTTCACTATCTTCTTGACTTCGTTGCTTGTGGGCCCAAGGTATCTAAGTTATAGTATATGTTATGTGCTTATGTAAACTATAGAAGTTAGAAGATCTAGACGATTGCTCTCATCATTGTTTTTTGATCATGTGTACTATTTAGACTTATGATGCTGAACTGAAAAGTTACACTCCTTTTCCTTCCCTGTCATCACAAGTGAATTATAAAGTTACCAGATATGGAGCTCCCTATGATAGAAGGTTGAGTTAAATTATAGTATACTTGATTGTTTATAATGATTATTTGCTGATAGGAGCGTGACTCTGACTTTTTCTATTTGTAAAGGAACCTATATAGAACCATATTGCTTTGTTTGTTAGAAGGATGAGAAGATTGAATAGAGTGCTCAATATGCTAATGGTAATCATTGTTTACTGCTTAATTAATTTGTATTGCAGCTGTATTCTCTGTTCAACATTATGACTTGTTCCTCGGTGATCTACTCATAATAGTTCTTCAGGCTAGTCATAAGTTTTGGAACTTTATACACACAGCATAGTTCTTTTGCTGCATCATTATAGTTGTATATACAATTTTCTCAATATATAAATCACAATGGAGTAAATTTTGTCAAGTAATTTACATACAGTCAATTGCGTTACTTACTGTACGTCTAGTGAGTTTTCTTTTCCCTAAGCCTACTTATCTTTGAAATAATTATATATACGTACTGCCTGATTGTAGAAGACTGCTCCTCCAGCCCTGAGAAAAGTGGAAAATGACAAAGATTGTAACACATGCAAACCAAGTGAGGTTTTCTCCCCTTGCCAATGGAAAATTGCAAGATGTCTCTAATCGACTAAGCCCTTTTCTAGCCTTCTAACTGCCCTTCCTCGATTTGTCCTGTGGGATGCCCCGTCTACTTCCCTTTTATTTCTGCTTTCCTGTTTCTAGATATCCCCGCTTTTAGCTCTTCTAGTCTTAAGCAACATTCAAAGTTAAAGGGAAACAGCCAGAACAAACACCGTAACACATTCCTTTAGCTAGCTGAAAGGGGTACCACTTAGGTATAACAGGTGGTTGGAAACTGACTGAACAAAGATCTTTTAATGGGAGTTGTAGGAACTGCAATTATGAATTCAGTCATACATCTTGTTAACATTTGGTTAGTTGGAACCAGAGATGAACCATGCTTCTCCACTTAGAAAAGGAGCCAATTCCTGCTTTGTTATTTCACTTAAAGGATACTAAGTTCATGAACTGCGTAGTTCCTTTCAGAAGTTATAGGATTGAATATAAAGAGTGAGACCTGAGTTTGCATGTCAATGAACATGCTTATATTTGAAAAACATACTAATACAATCGCACAAAATCTAAGTTTCTGGATGACCTGCACTGGTCCTCAGGGATTTCTCGATTATAAAAAATGTTTCTGGATGAATTGATGCATGTAAAAGAATACTGTGTATATGTTAAATTAGTGATATCTGATGTTTCTTACACCTACATCAATAATTGTTGAATCTCTCTTGCTGGTCTACCGAACAGGGGTCTGGATTCCCTAGAATGCCTGCTACTCATGCAATCCTGATTGGAAATCATGCTCCAAAGATGTGTTTTGGAATCAGTTTTTATTTGAAATCAACAAGAGAAAAACTAGAGGACCATACCATCACCAACCTTCCGCTTTGGATTTATACACGCATAGGTTAAAGATCCATCTAAAGTCAGTTAAAATGAGATATTCATGAATTCGTTGTGCTATCATACAATGTGTTGGAATTCTCCTCCTTCTCAATGATTGCTTATTTCTTGAGAGTAATTTTGTCATCTTACTATTGGTTAGTAGCTTAGATATTAATGAGAGCGCGATTACAATTACAGTTTCTGTACCCTTTACTAAGTAGAAGCAAAATATTCCATTATTCACAATCATTTAGTGAGTGAGGAAAAATCTATTAGTCATATGATTGGTTTTTGAATGTCTACTTCCCGGTCACCCTCAATTGTTGGATAAGGGGTCTCAGTATATGTGGACTTATAAATAAACTATACTCTGCCAAACTTTGAACACTTTTATGTGTATGGCTATCTGTTTGTCTTGGATTTTTCAATTCCATCACGCTCTTAACTCAACACATTGTGCTCTCATCGTGCAGTTTTCTTCCCTTGCCTGATGGAGCTCTCTGCTTGATCGTGGCCACGGCTTTCTGTGCAGAGTATTTCTTGTTCTATTTCCACTCCACCACCCACAAAGGCCTTGAAGGATACTATCACCTTATCCTTGTCCTCCTCATAGGCCTCTGTGTATTGTCAACTATCGCTGGAGCTCTTTTGCCAACCAGCTTCCCTGTTGACTTGGCTAGCGGCATTTCTGTAACACTTCAAGGCCTTTGGTTCTACCAAACTGCATTCACTCTGTATGGTCCCATGATGCCAGACGGTTGCCAACTTAAGGGGAACGACGTCATGTGTCGTTCAGCAGATAGAGAGGTTCGAGGCGAGTTGCTAGCTAACTTTCAACTTTTCTCCATGGTTTTTGTTGTCCTTGCTGCTACTGCTGGAGCTTATGGTTTTGCAGCTTCCGGGACTGGTCAGTCAGAAATTAGGAAATCACATGCGCCTTTTGATGGTTAGGAACATCTACAGTAGGATAGCCATTTTTGTACCATATTCTTTTTAGTAGGGAAAGGCCCTGAATGACCATTTTCAGATGTTGCTCTTAAATTATTCATTTGTCTTGCCTGCTAAGTGTAAATTTGACATTGAGAAGTAGACCATCCGTGGGTTGCTACTTGCTACTGATTTAAGATAGTTGCTGATAAGGATGGACTAAGCACAGAATAATTTGATGGTGGTAATTGCAGATGTACGTGTTTCGTCTTTTTTTAAATGCAGCGGATGGTAATTAGTTGTAAAATTTTCTTTGAAGCTCAAGATCTCTTGCTTTCTTAAGTGTGTGTTCGGAAAGCCTACTTGGTAATTCCGTGCATCATGTTTGGTATTCACGACTAGTAATTAAACATTCGAATCATTTTTAATTTAAAATAAGTGTTGTAATTAATTTAGCACCTGCTATTTTAAAACACATATGTTGTGAGTAATTGTTTCATTTTGAAAATAACAAATATTTTAATAGATAGACAGGGGATGTTCAAGCATTTCACTAAAACAAATACTCCATTATTGATGAAAAAGTAGCAATTAGCATGGAGGAAAAAGTAGCAGGAGGTAGTGTGAAAAGATGAAGATAACAAAAATTTGAAGTTAACTTTCCAATAATTACACATCATTAATTCTCTCAGTCTCAGGAGAATTAAAGAATGTAATTGTTCGTCCTCTATGACATATAAGTTCAAAGTGAAATTCCTTAAAGAGCTTGTTTGGAAAGCCACTTCGGAAATGGATTTGGGTGTAATTGGATATAATTACACAGTTTGGCATGTTGTTTGGCCAAGTAATTACTTGGTCAGCATGGAATTGAGTGTAATTGGAGGGGTGTAATTACACTCTCCAATTCTCAAGGGGAGGTGAGAATTGGTGGTAATTACACTATATAATTGCAAGGTTGCTTTTTAGTTTCTTTCTTTTTTGTTTTTATCTTAATTTATTTTTTTATAACTTTTTATTTCTATTATTTTAAATTTTTTATTTCATTTTTACTTTTTAATTTCTTTTGAAATTTTAAAATATATTTTGCTTTGTACATTATTTATCTTTTATTTCTCTATAATTACTTCTTGTGATCCCATGTATTTGCTTATATTATTTATTTTATTATTCTATTTTTTTAAACTACACCTCCTAATATAAGAAATAATGAGTCATTAACAAACTTGACATATAATGAGTGATGCAATTAAAGTGTAATTTCGTTGTTGAATGTGGTTGTAAACTTATCATGTTTCCTAATTATTAAGTTGCACTGGAACTTACTATTATTATGTTGGAATTTGACATATGTTAAACTATTTTTTTTTTTGACTTTTGAAATTGTGTTATATTCATGGTTTCAATTTACTTGTTTTAGTAGTATTGGCTGACATTGCATATTGTTCATTTTTAGTTAAAATTGATAAATTAATTTTGTCAAAAATTTGAATAATGCTATGACATTATATTTGTAAATATTAATTTATTTTATCAAACATGAACTCCATGATATTCTTGCAAAACGTATATTTTATTTTTGTAAGTATCTAAACTAAATATTATTAATTTAAAAAATATATAAATTATTTCTACAATATCAGTTATAAATATATGATTACTAAATTAATGTATATTCACGAAAAAATATATATCTTAAATACAAAATATAATATCGTTTATCTTATAAAAATTTATATGCATATATTTATTATATTAACTCTTAAGTTTTGATAATTACTTAATTTGAAATTTAATCTAACTGTGTAATTACACTTGTGCAACCAAACAGTAAACTTGTAATTACACTATAATTACATTATGACAAACAAATATGTCGTCGTAATTACACAACTGTGTAATTACTAGGGTGTATAATTACTACCCTAGTAATTACACCAATTCCAATTACAAGGTAACTTTCCAAACAGACTCTAAACAGGTTCTAATGCGACTTCCCTCACACCCTATATAACAAATCGTATCTTCACATTATACTTTGGGAATGATTCGACAAAATTCATTGAAGGTCTCAATTTATTAAACAAGGAAAAGGACAGAAAACCAAAAGATCAAGCACATTATCGTCGTTTGGCAAAGAAAAGGACAAATGATTGTAATGAAGTGTACCATAAAAGATCAATCTTTTGGGAAAATGCCAACTTGTCTTACGTTTACAACTAATCATATACCGTCACCCCCGCTCCAAGACCCTCAATCATGTCTCAATTACAACGTGGCAAACACAATTGTGTCTGTCAGATCATATTCCCTCACCTTCCAGTAAATGTCCATCAGACGCTGAAGTTGACTTGCCACCTGGTGCTTAAACGAGTCCCAGGGAAATCAAAATCAATTTCTATCCAAATACACCAACCAAAAAAAAAAAAAAAAGGAAAGGAACTTTATGCGATAAAATAAAAAAGAAACATAAAGAGCTTTTATATTTTATGTAAAACTTTATTTGATAATCCCAATTCTTCCCACTGTTTCTTTCTCTTCCCTTCGCCGGCCATTTTACTCGCAATTCTGGTTGCGGAGATCATGTGACCCTCTCCCCCTCCCCGCCCCTCATCCTCCTTCTTTCTACCTACAGATACATATGTTGTATCTCTTTTCTCTGTGTGTGTACTCCAGTAGATGCACTAGCTCCATAATTGTGTGCACGCACATATATTTTACTATCTCAAGTAAAGCCACCTAGGTTGCACTCACACATTAGCTCATTCTACGCGCTGCTTTTTTTTTTCCTTCACAAATTGAGGAGATTCGAACTGTTTTAGCTGCGATCATCAATTTTGAATAAAGTTTTGTAATCGTCTAGTGAATTTCGGAGTGTTCATTTGGTTTCAGTCTGTTCTCTTTTTTTTTTTGGTGGAATTTTTTTTTAATTGAATTTGGAATAATGATGATCGATAGTGTGGCGTAGTGTTAATCGAATTGGCGGAAGTGAGGTTTTTCACTGATCTTCCGGTTTTCTGAAAATATCTGGAGTTTTTTTTTTTTTTTTTTGGTTTCAACAATTTGGAATCTGAAAACGTGTAAATATATAATTGGAGAGTTGTTGGATGTCGAAAGTGGTGTATGAGGGATGGATGGTGAGGTATGGGAGGAGGAAGATTGGGAAATCCTATATTCATATGCGTTATTTTGTTCTTGAGACTCGATTATTGGCCTATTACAAGAAGAAGCCTCAGGACAATGTGGTGAGTTTCCTTAATTCCATTTTCTTTGAATTTGAAATTGATAGTCAGCTGTTCAGTACTTTGTGACTTTGAATTCAGATTACTTGACCTTTTAAATTGAATTGTTACAGACTTAGTGTAGGGAGTTGAAATGCAGTGATTTTGGAGTTGTTAAACTGGTGCTTTATATAAAAGCGCTTAAATGTTTGATGTCTGTTGTTGCCATGATCATTAGGTTCCAGTCAAGACTCTTCTAATAGATGGCAATTGTCGGGTGGAAGATCGCGGATTGAAGACTCACCATGGACATGTGAGTTGTTCTGAACTGCTGTCGATATTTGTTTTCCATTATATACACGGATTAGTAAATTTATTTGGGAGATACTGATCAATAGTGGGTGTGGTGGGTCCAAATTGATAAACTGTTATTGTTGGACTTGGATATGTTTGGTTGAAATGCACATATAGATGAATCATTAGAACCTCTTAGATTAGAAGGATAAGGGGTAACAACCCGGGATAAAACGTGGGATTATTTTATTCCGCGCTTGATTGCATTAGTTCCGGTATAAGCAATCGCCGGATTACTCGTACCACAATCGTCGTATTATTTTTATACCACACTCAATGTGAGATAATAATTATTGGACTATGAATCCTCACATTATATTCCAAGTATAACTTGTTCACTAAATGTGAGCGTGGCTTCTATCACATTTCTTTGATAGAGGAAAAAAATCAATGTATCACATTGTTTTTCCAATGTTATAACTTATATATTGAGAAGCTAGTTAGGAATGTAGTACTAATGCAATTCGAGAAAGGAGTTGTTTTGTTTAACTTACTAACTCTTACTTAAATAAGCAAGTGCCAGAATTGCCATTCAATTACTTGCCCTTGCTTCTTAGTTTAACACTAGAATAAGTGATTAAATATACTTAATTGGATAATCCTGTAATTTTCTTAATCTGTTCTCAATTGAGGGGGTGTGATCAGGATTTGTCAACTATCAAGTTATCTCGTGATGTAAAACCAACTTAGAGTAGCTTCTAGAGTTCAGGCGTTATTGCAGACTAAGGGTGAAAATGGTGGGTATAAGTTTGAACTTTGAAGTATTATAGGGTTATGTTACACGAACACAGGTGTGGGTATCCGGTGTAGGTGTAGATTTAGATGACAAATTCATTAGGGCAGCCCGGTGCACAAGGTATCCCGCGTTCACGCAGGGTCCGGGGAAGAGCCGCACCCCAAGGGTTGTGATGTAGACAACCTAACCTAATACAAGTATTAGTGGTTGCTTCCACGGCTCGAACCTGTGGCCTATAGATCACGAGTTCATTATTGCCTAAATCTTAGGATTAAGAATTATGGGTATGAGTACAGTAAGTGTTGAGAAATCTAGCTAATAAATGAAAGTTATGACACATATATGTATATATTTTAATAATTAATTGAAAAGTTGTTGAACTAAAACTAGGATAAATAAATTCTTCATCAAAAACTAGTATAAATAATTTATTTTTTAATACCTTGTATTTTTATCCCAGGAATATACTTCGTGTAATAACGAACTTTCTACTTTAAAATATTCATAAAGTGTGTGTAAATCAAAACCAAAGACCATACCAACATATGCTTCTTGGCAATAGCCGTGGTCAAAGCACCCAAGGTTAGTTTACCAAATCAAGTGCATAGCCGATACTTTCTCATCCAAATTATGCGGGATCAACATAGGCGTGGCAGAGAGTTTTAAGGATCTATATAACATTTTTGTAGGGTTAAGAAAACATGACTATCTTGTCCAATTTTAGATCTTGAACTCAATTATAATAGAATAGGGATTGCAAGGTGGAGAGCTTCTCTAAATCTATCTTAGAGGACATAGTTTCACTACCAAATACTTGATGCAATTCATATGGCAAATGAATTGCAGATTTGAGATTAGCAAGTGAGAAGCTTCTGCAATTTTTTATTGGGAAAGCATATTGTCGTGCTAATTAGGGTAATTTTTATTTTATGTGTTTGAAAGAATGAGGTTTGTGCGGCCCCCATGGTTTTGGTCTTGTGGTAAGAGTGCAATACTTCATGTGGTTAATCCTCAGGTTCGAATCCTATTGTAGACAAAAGCCTGGTATTAAGTGGAGAAGGGTAGAGGGGTGGACCCATTTTCTTCTGAGTTTTGAATTGTGTGCCACTTGTTCTTGAGTATTTCTCGATTGTAAAAAAAACAAGAGGTTTGCGTGCATGTTGAGAAGCGATAAGACACTACATAACTTTGTCATCATTTTTCCATCCTGTTGAAGGTACTCTATGTGAAATTTTAGGTTCGAGTAGTATCCGACGAGGATACCATTTGTCTCCATTTTTTTGAAATCTTATAATGGAGGCGCTTTGAAGATTGTTGTGTGAGATTTCATTCAGGGATTAGGGATAGGTGTTGAAAAAAAGCATAAGACTGAGAGCATCTTACTTGATGTTTATTGACTCTATTATGATATTCTATGAGACAGGCTAGACGACTTAGGTATGCGCTCAAAATTTGTAACAGCTCAGCACATTAGTGATATTGTCTGTTTTGGGTCTAGGCCCGTATGACGTTAAAACGTGTCATCAGGGTCTAAGGCTTTTTTTACCTATATACCCAATATCTCTCTCGTGTTTTGTCGATGTGACACACACCTCCTTAGGGACTTAGTGTCCTCGCTGAGTATTGCCCTAGCATCGTTCAAGGTTGCATGTGGAGTGGCTGTGATACCATATGTAACAGCCCAACCCACTAGCGATATTGTCCGCTTTGGGCCTAGGCTCGCATGGATTTAAAACGCGTCACTACGGTCTAAGAATTGTTTATTTATATAACTAGCATCTCTCCCGTGTTGTGTCGTTGTAGGATTTGCCTAGAAGTCACATATTTATAAGTAACAACTATCCACTAGTGATATTGTCCACTTTAGGCCTAGGCCTGCACGACTTTAAAACACGTCATTAGGGTCTAAGGCTTGTTTACTTATTTACCCAGCATCTCTCCCGTGTTTTGTTGATGTGGAATCACCTTGGATGTCATATACAATCTACCTTAGGGACTTAGCGTCCTCGTTGAGGTTTGCTCCACCACCTTATCAAAGATGTTATATTCGCCTAATTCAGTTGACCGCTGACGTTTGCCCCACCATTGTTCAAGGTTGCACGCGGAGTAGCTGATACCATATGTAACAGCCCAACTCACTGGTAGTATTGTCCACTTCAAGCTTAGCCCTGCACGACTTTAAAACGCGTCATTAGGGTTTAAGGCTTGTTTGCTTATATATCCAGCATCTCTCCCGTGTTTTGTCAATGTGGGATTTTCCTAGGGCGTCAAAAAACTTCGGTGTGGTTCAAAGCTGTTTAGAACTTGTATTACTCCCTTCGACCCAATTTATGTCACACCGTTTGAAAATATACCAGTTTAAGAAATATAGGAAAACTTTTTAAATTTTGTGTTATAAACAAGCCTTATACATGTGTGTGGTCGGAAATCAACTAATTAAGGGTAAAAGTAAAATTTCAAGTTAAATTATTTCTAAGTATAGAAAGACGACATTCTTTTTGGGACAGATTGAAAAGGAAAGTGTGCGACATAAATTGGACAAAGGGACTAACATATAGAAATTTGAGTTCATACACAGATAGGCTGATCCCACTAGGGGGATTTTACTGGGTATGTTGTTGTTGTACACAGATAGGCTGATGTAAGATGTCACCCAACGGTGTGGCCTTGCGGTCAATGAAGATGGTGAAGAAAATCTTGGAGAACAGGGTTCAAATATGAGCAGAGACAATAAAGTTAGGGATTTCTTCCATCTGTCTAAGTCTTAGGTGGCAAAGTTACCTGACACATGTGCTAGTAAGAAGTTGCTGATATACGGTGGAATAATCCAGGTACATGCAAGTTGGCCCAAGCACCATCATTATAAAAGGGAAGATGTCATTTCACCTACAACGTATTTGGAGTTGCCACTTGGCTGGAAGTTGTAGGATAAGGAGCTTTGACGACTTGTAATTGAGAAATTTGAGAAGTTACGTGGTTAGAAAATACAAGATATCTTTAACCGAGGGAAAAATTAAATTGTTGAAGTAGTACTTTCTTGAAAATTCATGTATCTTTATTTTGCATGCTCGTTGCCATTGGAGACAAATTGATGAGAGACTTCTTTTAAGAAGGTAAAGGAGGAGAAAAGAATTTGTAGAATTGAGAAAGATAATTGTCCCCATATACTTTATCCAAAAAGAAATAAAAAAAAAGAAAAAAAAGAGTCCTCATAGATAATCGTCCCCATCTATGAGGGATTGAGGGTGCTAGGAATTTGGAGAATATCTATATCTAATATGATATTGCTTGGAAAGTGGTTGTGAGGTTGGTTCAGGAGGAGAATGTTTTAGGAAGGAAAGTAATAATGGCTATTTTGGAGACATAAGCACTGAGTGGCTCTCAAAGTTACAATGCTTTAGGGAGGAATGTAATAACGTGGCTCAATATGGAGATGTAAGCAACGAGTGGTTCTTAGGGATACATTGACTATTTACGGTGAATGAGTAAGGGATTATAAATACAAGACAAAGGTTCTCACAACACATTGAATGTGTTTTGGAACATATGTCGTGTGGGGGAACAATTTTGAAGTATTCCCAACAGGTCTTGGTGTAATGAATGACAGGAAGTGTATGGTCACTTTTGGAGAAATAGACGGGGATAACTCGTGGAGGGCCATCCATGACAGGCGGCGGATGGAGACTGAGGTATGGAGGAATTTGTGGGGCACCAAGGCACCAAAGAAAGTAGCCTCTTTTACTTGGTATACAGGGTAGAATATGATCTTGATGGCATGTAATTTGAAAAGGTGGAGAATTGTGGTGACTTGGTGTTGTTTGTGTGGTAGGAATCCTTTATGAACAGGTAAATATTTTTATAAAGAAACAAACAACACAAATTTTGTGCTGTGCTTACATTCCAGCAAAAAGCCCCCTCCCAAAAAAAAACCCGGAAACCCTGTCTATCTATGTAGAGACTCTTAAAATTGTTCAGCATCATTTACAGTTTTCAGATTGCACCAAAAGGAAAATAAAAAAAATACAATCTGATTTGAACGTAAGAGTAGAGCTATATTTTTTCTGAGAAAGGTAACAATCTTAAGAGTAGAGCTATATTGTCCCTCAAAAGTTAAGACATCTCTTTCCTTCCTTATAGACCATCATATGCATGCTGATATGGTGTTCCAAGCGCTCTTCTCTGCTTTTGACATGCCCTTCCTGCTCCAACATTTTAGCAAATTTCAGATGTAGAGCTTGGGCATAGCCCATCTCAGCCCCAAAATGTTGTAAAACATCTGCCAGATTTATAAGGCCACTGAACAGTGTATAGATAAACAGTTTACAGTATTTTTCACTTTCCGCAAAACATATGACAGATGTTGTTGAGTTGTATGTCTATTTTTTTAAAATTATATTGGGTGAGGCATGCCTCTTCTAACACCAACCAGATAAAGCATGTGAGAATACACGAGAGAAAATTTATTATTGATATATTCTGTTAAGTGTTTTACGATAGCCCTATTTATAACTATACGCAATACATATTCTACTCCTATTCCATGTGGGACTAGGGTTATTTACATAACTTTCTAACAAAGCACTCCAGTTTAGCTGGAGCTGTAGATTTCCATATTGTCTTCCAAGGGTCTGCTACAGTACCAGATGATCTTCCTGTGAGTATTCTGTAGCACGTTTTCAATGTAAATACACCATCAACTTGTCCTTCATCTAACTTGATCTGTACACTCAACCTTTAGTTCTTGATTAAATTTTACCCATTAAAAAGAGGGAGTCAGTTCTTGAATAGAGAAATATCAATCAATTTCTTTAGGAGAGTTTCTGTCACAAATCTACATTTGTTCACGTCTTTAACATTCAACTCACTGCCTTGCCATACTCTGGACAGCTTTACACCAACATTATAAACACCTGAATCTTATGGTGTTGCATTGGTTATGAAGTTTCTTACGCTTGTCTCTGGCTGTTTTTGACTCTATATGAAAGTATAATACTCTCTCCATTCCAATTTATGTGACACTATTTCCTTATTAGTCCATTCCAAAAAGAATGACACACTTCTATATTTGGAAATAATTTTTATATTAACAATTTTACCTTGAGAAACTTTTATAGGCATACAAATATTGTGACATGTAGAAGGCCACAAGTCAAAAGTTTTGTAGCCACCCAAATTTCTGACATGTTTAAAACCACAAGTTTTAAAGGTGTTCGTTTCTTTCTTAAACTCCGTGTCAATTCAAACTATGTCACTTAAATTGGACCGGAGGGAGTATAAGAGATAGTAATAAGTAAAAATGAAGGGAATGGGTCATTCATCTTGTTATTAGGAAACATAAGTGTGAGATTGCCAGCTTTTCCATGCTCTCAGACTTGTTATGAAGGGGTTAGAATGTATAACATTTTCATTTTTTTATAATCTTTTCACTTGTGACACAAGATTGAGCTAAAGCTATTTAGTTCGCTTAGGTGAAGAATTTAATATGTTTCCACTTTCCTTTCTTCCTCCTCTCCCTGTTTCAACTTGCAAGTGTTAGTTCATCTGTGCATGGCTTATCTTCTACTGAATAGTGAACTTTTATATATTATATGGATTTTTGTATATTATCCTGCAACGGTATATATGATGTGTGCCGCGATATATTCTTGATAACTAGTTATTTGGCTTTTATATTGAGGGTATTAATACTTTTCTCTCTGTCCTTGGCAGATGGTTTATGTCTTATCAATATATAACAAGAGAGAGAAGTATAATCGAATGACGGTGTGTATATCCCTTTTTCTTCTCTATGCATGCTCCAAAAATTTACTTTGCCATCTTAGGTGTGTTTTGCATGGCTTTAAATTCATTCTTTTGTTCCTGCTTCATTGCTTCACAACTTATTCACATTCTTCAATTTCTTTTAATGGTGATATCTGAACGAACTTGTGCACACCTTGACTAATCCAGTGGGTACTTGCTACCTTCCACCAGCCCATGTACTGGGTAACTCTGCCCACCAAGACTTATACAGATGGAAAGAAATGACATAGTATTTTTTGTTTCGATTGGGATTTCATTTGAACCTTGGCGTCTAAGGTTTGCACCCACTTCATTGAACAATAGGCCACTCCTTGGGCGCCATATTCACATTGTTCATTTACTTTAGTCTCTTCTGATAGTCAGGTCACATTCTTCATATAATTTAACAATTGACACAGGAGGCACTTTTTTGGATATGTACTGGATGCTTTACCATGTTAGGGATTTTATTTTGCAAATTCTAACTTCATTAGGTGGAGAAAGAGCTGATTAGAACTTAAGCTGACTAGGGCACAATCTAGATTTGATACTCTTATGATTTAGTCTTGACTAGTGGCGGAGGCAGGCCTTCTGCGAAGGGGGTTCAAAAAAGGAATAAGTTAAAAAATTTAAAGAGATTGTAGCTAGTGGGAATTGAATCAATGACCTCATAATGGTTTTGAACCCCCTTGACCACTAAGCCATGCTTTTGGGTTGTCTGTAGGGGATTCAAAACATAATATATAAAGGTAAAAACCAGATTTTTCGGCGAAGGGGGTTCGAGTGAACACCCTTGCGCCCCCCTAAATCCGCCTCTGGTCTTGACAACTTCCTTTTGATTGACAATTTCTGGTCGGTGTCTTTTTTCCTTTCCTATCTGCAATTTACTTGTTTCACCATTAGGATTATATTTCGCTGATGCTATAAACTTTTAAGAGATTCGTTCATTCAAATTATAATATTGTTCCAGATGGCAGCTTTCAACATTCAGGAGGCACTTATTTGGAAAGAAAAGATCGAATCGGTGATTGATCAGGTTGTTTCTTCGTCTTTTCTGTCTGTTAATTATCCCGTGTATTATGTCTTTTTCAGACGTACATTCTCCCCCTGCCTCCTCCTTTTTCCCAGATATGGATGGAGGTTGTAACATGTTGACAGTATGCAGCATCAAGAGTCAAAAGGTGCTAATGGTAATAAGTATGTCTCCTTCGAGTACAAATCCGGAATGGACAGTGGGAGGAACGGTTCCTCATCAGATCGTGAAAGCCAGTAAGTATTGTGTGCATTTGCATTGCATCGTATAGAATTATTCTGCCGAATATGTGGACCCAATATTGTTTCTTTTCTTTGCTGTGTTTTTTCATTCGAAGTCATATCAATTCTTAACAACTTTTTCCTGATGAAGTTGCTGTATAAAAATAATACATCAGGAAGATGCAAATTACAGAAAGTAAAGTTACTATAGAGATCATGACTGTTAAACTTAAAAATAAAGATGACGTTAGCTCCGTAGGAGCTTCCTAAACAAAAGATAAGGAGCTAACAGAGTCTAGGATCTGTACTGGGCAATTCCAAAACAGAGTGGTAAACCCAGCTAAAAAGAAAAACAAGACATCTAGCTTTCAGCATCTGGGTAGAAGTTGATACTCCATCAAAGCATCTGCGTTTTTTATCATTCCAAATAAACCAAAAATAGCAAGCAGGGATCATCGACCAGATATTCCTGATGGCTTTGTCAACTTTTCAAGTTTTACCTTCATAAGGTAGGGTAAGGTCTGCGTACACATTACCCTCCCCAGACCCCACTTGTGTGATTGCATTGGGTTTGTTGTTGTTGTTGGTTTGTCAACTTTCCAAGTGCACCAGCTTTGATAGGCCTCCTTCACTCTATGAGATATTACCCAATTGAGTCCGAAAAGGGATAGGAACATGTTCCATAGGTCGACTGCAACTGGGCAATGAAGAAACATATGGCCAATGTCTTTCTGAAATCTGGACACACATGTAGCACCTGTTCACCACCTGTATACATTTTCTGGTGAGGTTATCTCGAGTGAGGCAAACCTCATTGAGAACTGTCCAGGCAAAGCATTGGAACTTAGGAGGCATTTTTGTCCTCCAACTTTACTAGCTACTGCTTTTATTTATACACATCTATAATTTGATTAAAGAAATTCTGGAGAGAGATTAAAGTATGTTTAGAGTATATCCTTGCCTATTGGATTACTATTTTGCTTAATATGCCTTCACCTAGTCAGGGAGCTGGCCAATGATGTGAAAACCAAGTCCCCATACATAAAACAGACAAAATGGTAATCTAATCATATCAACACAGTTGGTTTTTTTCTTTTGTCTTTGTTCTTTTCTTTTTCATGTATAGACTCTGCTTGGTTTGGATTTAGTCAGCCGATTTTATCACTTTTTCAAATTAAGTTAGTTTATCATAAGTAGTCGGTTACCACTGTATGGAATTGTTCTGTTGACTAGTACCGACATAATAATTGATTTTACAATAGTCGTCTGTTTTAATGATCATAATCAGATCATAATTCAAGCCAAACAGGCCCTAAAAGTAATTAGTTTGTGTCTGTCAGGTGCCTGACCACATTTTTCATGCTCTTTTAGGAAATAAATTCATTTACAAGTGAAGTGCATGTTCCCTTCAAAATCCAAGGCAATGGGGTTCTTGAATGGACTCTGTTAGTTTTGCTACTCTTGTTCTGCATTTAAATGCCCTGCTTTTGCTTTTAGAGAATTCAACTTTGGCATCTTTCATCAGAACTTTTGCCAGTATTTCAAGACATTTTTATAATGCAATCACTTGTATAATGTTTAGTTTTGTATTTACAGGGTATCCAAATATCTAAACTAAAGAAAATAGCTGTATCATCTTTTATTTCACTTTAAAAGTTGGTCAAAGTGACTCTTCAGAAACAAAACTAGGCATTCAATTAGGGAGTATCAAAGAACTAGGCATTGAAAATTTAGCAAATTGCAGAACCGACAAACTTGAAGGGCTATGTTTCCTGTCATTGACCGTGCCATTTATATCTTCTAATATAACATTCACTCATTCATGGGGCGTCTTGGCAGTGTTTATGCAGATTTTTTTTGCGAAAGGCACAGTCATCTTTTTCTGTACCATCTTGGTACCATTCAGTAAAATCTTTACCTTATCCAAAAAAAAAGGAACTTCAGCTTTTACAAATCAAGTGCTTTTCCAATTTTGTAGGTTAAGTGCTGCTGAGGATGAAGATGATTCTCATGCAAACTTGCTGCGAAGGACTACAATTGGAAATGGTTGTTAATTTGCTTTTGTTCCTGATCTAATGTGTACTTTTCACTCAAACTGGGATTTTTCCGCATCATTAATTGTCAGGTCTTCCTGAGTCGGTGGTTGACTGGACAAAGGAATTAGACTCAGATTTGTCAAACCAGAATGCTAGCAATCAAGCGTTCTCGAGAAAGTACTGGCGGTTGCTTCAATGCCAAAACGGTATGTGGATTTGATCAAGCTCTCTTCCAGTAGACTTGTTTTCTTATGCAACTGTTAGAACCAATGTTCTCTTTGTTCATTTTCTGGGTGATAGATTATTGTCATTAGTTGTTGAACAGTTACTATGTGATGTCTTCCTGGATTTTGACTTCTTTACTGATGGATGTTGCAGGGCTTCGCTTATTTGAGGAGCTTCTTGATGTTGATTTTCTAGTATGACTCAGTGCTACGTTCTTTTCTGGCCTACGCATAACATAACTTAGAATAGGGCGTTCTGAAATTTTCAATGCTTTCAATCTAAAAATAGGGCATTTCAATGTGTTTTTATGATGTCTCACTTTGTTTCTGTGTAGCCAAAGAGCTGCAGTAGAGCAATGAAGGCTGCTGGGGTTGTGGAGGCTAGTTGTGAAGAAATATTTGAGCTTGTAATGAGCATGGATGCAACACGTTTTGAGTGGGTGCTCAACATTGTCAATTTATTCGTAATAGTGTTCATGTTTCATTTTCCTTCTTAAGTGCTCTGGTGGTTAGTTTCTGTACTTGTTAAATTGTAGGGTTGTAGATTTAAAATGGCAGTCATTTCTGAGGCGAACTTTACTCTTATTCCCATACTGAACTTCCATAAGTAGTCCTGCCTTGGTACCTAAAGTTACTTCCTGCTTTTACTGGTTGTCTGGTACTTACTACTTACTCTCTCTAACATCTCTGTTTCGTTTAATCTAACATAGTTTGACTGGGAATGAGTAGCAAGTAGCCAATTTGGCTTGCATACTTGGTTGTAAGAATAAACAAAAAGGTTTTAGCAATTATAATTTGGTGTACTAAGGAGACAATTTCATGGTTATATTAGTATCATAAAACGAGTAAGATTACTTTAAACATGCAGAAGTTGTTGACTATTCGAATTTATAGCGAGTATATCAACTTTTCTGGTACATTCCGAACTGAACGTCCAGTAAAACTGGGATAGATAGGGATTACATCCATTCAATATATACTCGATTTTGTTATGAGGCTTGCTAGGCTTGACAGTGATTCCTGCGCAAAGTTGCTCGATGTCGAGGGAAATCTTTGTCGATCATTCGAGTACACAGATGCTGATAAATGATAACTACTTATTAATATAATCTTTAAATAGCGAATTCTAGGTTTAACTTAAAAAGTATTAATCTCTGCGTTTAACTTAAATAATCCCAAGCAGAGTCTCTTTCCTGATAAATAACTAAAGACTCTTATTTCAAGAGAAAGATAGATATCAGAGAAATCCTGATGCAACAATTTGAGGACAAGTAGGCTAGATGTTCTGTCCAAAGTAAGCAGGATCATTTACATTGCTTGTTTATTTACTGGTCTAACTCCCCACTTAATTTTTTTAAGTTCTTAATTGTGATTTGGGGTTGTTAGTGTGGTTAAAAATCATCATTTGTAAGGTATGTTGTGATCATAGAGTGAGTAACCTTCAAAATGGCTTAGTTCAGTATTCTAGAAGGATGTTCTTTGTTGTTAACTGGTGTTAAAAGGAGCATTTTGGGTAATCTTTCCGCTCTTGCATGTATTTCTATTTGTGGTTCTGTTGAAAAACCTATTGTATGCCATCATTTCTAATTATGTACCTTCTTTGATTTTCAGCTTCCTTCTCTTTACATCCTGACAGTTTTATGAGGTGGTTGAAGATCTAATGCTTGAACATTTATTAGCCAGCTTATGTTCTTAACGCTCTTTTGTTTACTGATGTATGCTGTTTTGGAGTTATAAGCATTTCAAAGATTTGAAACAGATTCTACATTTGATGCATTTGTAACAGAGCTGCAGTAAGATGACATGCCAAAGGGGAAAGATGATTCTGTTTGTAGTTGTGTAATATTTTTTTCTATCCTTTCAAAGTGTTGGACCAACATTTGGGTGGAGATTTACTCCTGAGACTTTTTGGTGAAAATTGAATGCCTATTTTCAGAATGATTCTTGTGTTTGTCCAAGCTAACTGTATTCTCTATGTATGATCTGTGTTCTATGCTTCTTATTCCTGTCTGTTCATTCCTTTTGGGTTTATTCTTAGATGTTTGTCTATATTACTTTGTGGAACCGGTTCATGCTCAGAAATTCTTGCATGCATTTCTGTGATTGGATCAGGGATTTATGCATTTAAATCAGGAGATTCTTCTGGTTTACATGATGCGGGGTTTTGGCATGATTCTGAAACTTAATTTAGGGCTGTTTTAATTATGCTACTTAAAATTTCAAAAGACTGTTTTAGGCCTTTTATGTTTTGATGCAATAATGTCAATGAAGTTGTGAAAAAGTTAAACTAAAAAAGTGAATTAGGTGTTATAAAGAAGGAAATGCATTTTTGGATCTAATAATGAAATTTTTGAGCTTGGAATGTTACACTATATTGCAGTTATTGTCATTCAGCTATTCAGCTTGACATAAATCATTGATCTATTCAGATTATTTTTTGTGAAATTTTGCAATATTTCTTTACTTGGTTTTACACCCTTGCATTGAACTATCTAATAAGGTGATATGGATAATGTAGCCATTTTGTCTGAATGAAAAGCATGGCAAGTTAATGGTAAGTTGTGTCTCAGTTATCAGTTAGTCTTTGATGTTCAGGCTCTCTTTTCAATTGGCCTAACAGGTGGGACTGCAGCTTCCAGGATGGTAGTTTAGTTGAGGAGGTAGATGGACACACAGCAATACTATATCACAGACTTCAACTGGATTGGTTCTCGACGTAATATGTTTCCCTGGTTACAGATCTTCAGTGTGCTGTAGTTGGGTGTTTGACTATTTTATGTGTACTGTTTGACATCTGTTTAGTTTGGTTACATTAGCTTCGGCAGGAAACTGAGTTGAATGTTACACAGTTAAATGCTAATGAGCTTGTTGGCAACTCTCAGCCTGGCTGTTTGTCCATCAAGGAGTGTGGGTACACTTGTGTTATCCATGCTTGCTTTCATATAGAAAAGGTGTTTGTGTATGTGTAATCGGTCGCTTGTCTCTGAGAATTTCCCTTTTCGGTGATGGAAATACTTGTTTCTAATTATTTGTTCAGTTATATTGCCTACATTGACATTTGCTCTTTTTAGTTTAAGAAATTTTTTCACTTCATTTAAATACAACACTCTCTTCACTTTCTAATATAGTATTATAGCATAAGAGTATTAAGTAATATTTGAATTAAAAGATGGGACTCAACTCTGTGTATGGGCGAGTTGGCTACTTCTTGGAGGTTTTGGTGTACTGGACTGATATTGGGAGAGAGAGCTTCATTGTTCATCTATGTTCAATCCAAACAACCTAAATTACTTAAAACGCCATCTGAGTTTGTGTTCTTTTTTTTTTTTTTGATAAGTAAAATACTTTTATTCCATTTGAGTAGCTACGAGTTTGTGTTCTTTCTTTGTTCTTTTGTTTCTTTTTTGTCTGAAAGAAAATAAATATGATTTTTTTTATTATCACAAAGTACCCCCCCACCCCCCCAAAAAAACGAAAATATAATGAAAAAGAAGATAGAAATAGGAAATTCTTTTGCGGACTATTTTGGGTGTTTCTGGCTGAGATGTCATTGTATGCAATGCAGGTTTATATGGCCTCGTGATCTTTGTTATGTACGATATTGGCGTCGAAATGACGATGGCAGCTATGGTAAGCATACCCCTAAAAAATTACTAATTTTTATTCTCTCCTTGGTATTTATGACTATACGTGATTTACTTTGTCATTTTGCAGTTGTGTTATTTCGTTCTAGGGAGCACGAGAATTGTGGTCCAGTACCTGGATATGTTCGCGCTCATATAGAGAGTAACTTTGTTTCTCTTACTCCTTTGCAATAAATTTGTTTGATAACCATACAAATTGGGAATAATGTTGTAGCTATATATCTTTCACAGAGGTATTCTGCAGCTTTCTATCTTATTTGTGACAAAAGATGCTAACCAGTTTTCAAATCTATAGGTGGTGGATTCAATATTTCTCCTCTCAAACCTCGTAATGGGAGGCCCAGAACGCAAGTCCAACACCTAATGCAGATCGATTTGAAGGGGTGGGGTGTTGGCTATATCTCATCCTTTCAACAGCATTGTCTGTTTCAGATGTTAAACAGTGTTGCTGGTAAGCTTTTTATGCTAGGCGAAAGTTACATCCATTGAAACAGGTTTTTTGTTATATCATAGTTTTCTAATATGCATTAACTAGGCTAATCTTTACCTTATCAAAAAAAAGAAAATACTAATAATTAGGCTAGTAAAAGAAAAGTGCATTAACAAGGCTAGTGCATGAGCTATTTATGATATGTAGTGTTTAGCATTGGAGCAATTTCTTTAGTGATCACTGCTTGTGATGTGACTTCAGGAATCTTCTGTCTTCCTCCTTTTCCTGGGAACTGCTTATTGTGCGCAAAATAGTGATTGTAGTGATGGTTATTTCCGTTTCGTTAAAAGACTAATAGTAAGATGGACTATCTTCCTCCTTTTTCCCCGGCACTGCTTGTTGTGCGCAAAATAGTTTGTCGGGATAGTTATTTGCCCCGCATAATGTTGAAAGACGAAATAGTAAGAAGGGAAAAATGTACATAGTGAACAGCTTTTTTGATAGTGTTTACAGATCAAAGCTCAATCTGAAACTGATTTCTGATTATCTTACTTCAGGACTTCGCGAGTACTTTTCCCAAACTGACGAAAGGGCTGCTACGCCGAGAATACCAGTTATGGTTAACATGACATCAGCATCTATCTCCAAGAAGAGTCAACACGAATTAGGGACTTCTCATCACCGTACTGCGTCCTTAGACCTAGTACATGCTGCAAATAGAAATGCTTCAATGATGGATGATATCTCTGATGAGGATGAAGATTTTCAAGGGGCCGATCAGGAGGTTTGAACTCTTAGATCATTTCATGTATTTTCTGAGTCTCCTTTTAAACACGTGGCTTGGATTCTTTGCAGGTAATGCCACCCAGCTTTGAAAATGAAATGAAGAAGACTGGTAGGACTTAACATGGTTTTATTTCACTTCTATATGTGAAATATTTATTGGGGTGGTTCAATTCCTTATTAACATTGTCTGTGTACTGCTGAAGCCCTTGAAGAACCTTTGGAGCAAATTGATTTGTCCATTTTCTCGGGTAACCTTCGACATAATGACAATGATGGTGGACGTAATTGCTGGAGAATATCTGATGGAAATAACTTTCGAGTTCGTAGCAGGAATTTTTGTTATGACAAATCAAAGGTCCTGAATTTGTATATTGTACCCTTTATAAGTGCTTTATGTTTAGTTTAATAATCTCTTGCAAGCTGGTTGAGCATCTCTTTGGAAAATATCCATGCAGACTCCTGGGGGTAAACATTTAATGGAGCTTGTTGCGGTTGACTGGTTCAAAGATACTAAACGCATGGATCATGTTGCCAGGCGTCCTGGTTGTGCAGCACAAGTAAGTGATATTTGACTAAATTTCAAGGGAATGAGAAACCTATTAGGGTTAGCTAAGGATTGTTATGATTGTTTCTCTACATGTAAATTAGCAACTTGAAACGTATAACTTTAGTCAAACCTGCTTGTTTTGTGTTTCTTGCCAAAACAAAAATAATTCAAGCGATACATAGAACATATCATTGTCAAGTTACAGATGGAAAATTTTAATTGGGTTTTAATTTCAGGACAACTCAATAAATATGTAGAAAAACTCATAATAGTGTTTAATTTAGAGCATCCAAGTTGACAAAATAAAGGTTACAAAATGTGGAGACCTAAACTGGAATTAAGTCATTTTGTCTCCATACATCAATGTGAACAATCTTGAAAGGGACACAGCTTGTTTTGGGAATGAAGCACGCTTTTGTTCCTTAAGTTTACATGACTGACAATCAATTGACGATACAGAGGGAAGATCAGGATCATCAGCTGAAATTTAACGATGCAGATGGCTAAGACAGCTGTGGGTGAGAGGGGGCTCAGTGAAAATTAATGATGTGAAAGAGGATTCAGAAACTTTGTGATTCACACCCTTCACCAATCATGCATCCTGAACTCCATTTTAGAAACAGATGAAATTAATTTTAATGGAATAATCAAGACGTTTAGTGAGTTTATACTTTATTGATGGAAATAACGTTAAAATGACACTCAGAACATATAAAACACCATGCTAGAGATTGATTAATGGAATTTGACCAACTGCCTGGGCCATGATTTTGGTTTCTTTCAGAATGGGTAAATGTGAGTGGTTGTCTGGATAATGGAAGAGAGAGAACAAAGTTCTTTTTATCGGTCATTTGGTCTGAAGCTACTGAATCAAGGATCCAGGTCTAAGAGATGAAGAGTTAGCGGGACATGCGACTGACGTCCTTTATCGGTGGCAATACAGTGGATGAATTAGCTGGCTCATTTTCCAGGAACTAGTCGTAGTCAATGCTTAAGATGAATTGGCTGATCTCCTGAAGGTGTACTCTGACTCGATAGAGAGAAGGAAAAACTGCAAAACACAAAAAACGCCATAATAGAGGCTCGTTTTACGAACACCAAAATATTTAGAAGAGTCATCTCTGATTAGTGCACCCTTTGGTCTTGTCTGATAACGGGTGCCCATATACTGTATATAAAATATTTCTAGCAGTGGTCGTACAGAAAAATTCATAGTCAGAACTCAGAACTAAGCTTACAGGTACCTCCGTACCTGTGCACCTCCTCCGTATTAGTGCAGGTCTGCCTTTGACGGAATCTGGTGTGGTTCTGATGACAGTGATTGGAGATTATCTGGTGTGCCGGCAATGAGTCAATGACAGTGACTATGATGGTGGATTAAGATGTGTGCAGTGTCCTTGCAGTCTGCAGCCACTGTGTTTGTTTCGTAGACAAAGCTCTTACTATTATTGGTTACTGATCTGACGAAACAATTGCCATGAATTTGCAGACAGTAAATAAATACCCTTCAGACTTCGTAGGAAAATTTCCTGTGAGCGAGATGAACTAAAGTTTGGTGTTTTTTATCCTTGGCTTTGATACCATGTTGAAAAAGAAACATAAGTACAGAAACTTGTATTTGCTTGAAGACAATACGAAGTCTTGTTATATAATAGTTTGGCCTAACAAGGTAAATTACCTACTTAGAAAATGCTAACAATGACGTAATTATGTACAGGATGTCTGTAATATAGGAGTACTACATTTCTCTGCAAATGAATCTGCAAACCCTAAGAGTGAAGTGTAGTGTTTAAAGTCCATTTTGCAAAAGCTTCGTGCAGATTTAGGGTCTGCTAATGTACTAATTGCCTTATGTTGGGGTGTGTTTCTGTGGGTGATCTGTACAATTTACTGGTTGATGGACTCATAGTGCAGGGTCCAGAGAGTCTTCAGTCAATGTGCTTTATTTTGCACATCTTGTCTGGTTTTGCTATAATATTGAAGCTTTGCTTCTTTGTAGTCATTACATGGTGAACCACTTTATATTTATACTTGCACCCATATTCTCCAGGTTGCTTCAGAGAAAGGACTGTTCTCTTTGGTGTTTAATCTTCAAGTAAGAAAATCCTTCTGTATCCTGATTTGGGTTAATATTTCAAGTGCATCATGATGAAACAAGTAGACAACATTTGTCTTCTGAAAGGTACCCGGATCAACTCACTACAGCATGGTTTTCTATTTTGTAATGAAAGAGCTAGCACCTGGTTCTCTCTTGCAACGTTTTGTTGATGGTGATGATGATTTCCGCAACAGTAGAATGAAGCTCATCCCTTCAGTGCCGAAGGTACTTTTCTCTATTCAATTCATATTGTCTGGGGGATGGTGTTTAAGGTAGAATGGATTTAATGACATTTCTGTATTATCGGTAATCACAAAGTTCGCATGTTTTAACTAAGATATGATCTCATGTAATTTTTTAGACGTAATGGCTTTTTGACTCTTAAAGACTTGTCTCTTTAGAAGCATGGGGACACAAAAATCTCAAAGCTTAGTGAATAGCAGGGTTGGGGCTGTGAGTGAGATGTATTTTCAGAATTCAGGTTCATAGGAAAATCTTTAGACTAGGGGAGGATGGAAAGGGAGCAGCAAAAGGGAGGATGACCAGAAGTCATGGTGGAAGTTTGGAGTTTATAATGGAATTACTTAAAAATACTTTAAATAAAACTTTGGTGGAAGTTTTCGAATCGAAAAATTTAGGGCCCTTTTGAAACGATTCTCTCTGAATTTGAAGTTCTTATGTATATACTTGTGTTGGTGATGTAGAGGAGTTGTACTCCACATCAGCTTGAAGCTGCCACTAGTTTACCAATCTCTTCAACTAATGATATTTTATGTAAAACTGGTAACATGCTAAATGTAGACATCTTGGAGAGATTCTTCTGTTTCTACTACTCCCTCTGTCCCAATTTATGTGTCATGCTTTCCTTTTTAGTCTGTCCCAAAAACAATTTCATGATTCCTTATTTAGAAACAATTTAACTTGAAACTTCCTACTTTAACTTAATGAGATGATTTATAACCACACAAATATCTATGACTTGTTTTAGACCACAAGTTTCAAAAGTCTTTCTTTGTTAAACTCCATGTCGAGTCAAACACCGCCGCATAAATTGGGACACAGGGCGTATAATTATGTTAACATTTTTCATTTAATTAATAATCCCATCTGCTCCTCTCGCCTTCAGTCTTCCTCAGTACTGTGACTTCATCATGATGTGTGTTTGGAATTTTGACCATTTTTATGCAGGGATCCTGGATTGTGCGTCAGAGTGTTGGAAGTACCCCTTGTTTACTGGGGAAAGCAGTTGATTGCAACTATATCCGCGGGCCTACATATTTGGAAGTAAAGACCCACGCCCCTCTCCTCTTTATTAAGGCTACATAGACACACGATGTGGCATAGTGCCGGGCATATTATGGTGTTGAACTTGATTTATGTGTTGCTTGTGTTCTGTAGGTTGATATTGATATTGGTTCTTCTACGGTGGCAAATGGCGTTCTGGGGCTTGTGATTGGTGTAATTACGTCACTAGTAGTTGATATGGCTTTTCTTGTACAGGTGAGTGAGTAGCTCTTTGATCACGTCCAATTCACACCCAATTAAGGAATATGAAACGGTCGTTACAATAATAAACCCAACACGAGTCGGGGTCGAATCCACAAAGAGTTTAAAATGGGTGTTAAGCTAAGTACTCAAGAAAGAAACTCGAAATAGCTAGATTTAGCTTCCAAACAGAAGTGGGTAACAATTTCTTCTAAATTAAGGCAGAATGGCCTAGGAGACACTTGTACTTGTTCCGGATTGTCGTCCCGGTCCTACACTCCAGCTGCTGCTACAATACAAAAAGATGCCCTAAAAAAATGTTTCACGTCTATTTATAGTGCTCCAAAATTCCTGACAAAAATACCCTTCGGATGGTTCTGCGGCCGCACTTTATCATCTGCGGTCCGCACTTTGGTAGGTTACTGTTGCGAGTGCATTCAGTTGGAGGAATTCTGCGGCCGCACATTAGCTTCTGCGGCCGCACTAAATTGCTGCGGACCGCACTTTGAGGAGGCTTCAAACTTTGTTCAATTGCGTCTTCTCTGATCTTTCAGGCTTGTCAATGCGAACCTCAAGTGCGACCGCACTTCTGCCAAAAATCCCTGAAGCTCCAGGTCTTTGTCTGCGGCCGCATGTCATTTTCTGCGGGCCACATTTGCTTTTGTGGCTGCAGATGGAATTTTGCGGACCACACTGCTCTTGCAATCTTCCTCCCGACTGATCTTAGCAGAAATATTTCCTTTTTGAGTTAGATTTCTCCATTGAGCTCACATTTTCCAGCTCACCTGCAATTCACCCATTTTCATTAGATTCGGAGACAAAAGTCATTACTTTCGGACTAAAAACTAAAGCAAGAAAATACTAATAGGTGGTTAAAATTCACACTTATCACTCTTCACCGGTGAGATTCATTAAATTGATGACAATTGATTGGAGGTACATTATCCGCCATCTCAGGTCTAGAGTAAATGAGAGAATGGTTTCATCTAAGACTTGCAAGTGAAACCAAGAAGCTTACAGGCCCTATTAACTTACTAGTATTATTCCTGAAATATTTATGTTTAAAAAAAATACGGTTGGGAAGGTCTAAAATTGTGAGATTGGTAGAGATTCGCATATGAATCTGACATTGAGATGTGATTTAGTTTAGATTTGTAATTTAGATATCCTGGAAGGGTCTAGCTAAAGTTTAGAAGAAAAAAGTACTCTTAGTGATTAGTATAAATAATCAACATAACAACAAACCACCCGGTGTAATCCCACAGGTGGAGTCTGGGGAGGGTACTATGTACGCAGACCTCAACCTACCTTATACAGGTAGAGAGACTGTTTCTGATAGATCCTCGGTTCAGACAAGCATAAGCACAACAATTAAGAATGAGAACTGCAGTAATAAAGAAGGAAAAGGGAGGAGTAACAAAAATAGGCTAAAGAATAAAACCGAGGCAGAAGCAACATCATGTAACTACAAATCTAAGAAATAGAAAGAAAAAAAAGAGAATAGTAATACAGCTACTAGAATTGACGGGAAAGACGCTCGGCAACTAACCTTCTACTCCCTCCGTTTCAATTTAGATGATGTAGTTTTACTTGGCACAAAATTTAAGGAAAAGAAAGACTTTTGAAACATGTGGTCCTAAAGGCTTAAGGGGCAAAAGCTTTGTCGGACCATGATATTTTTGTAGCTATAAAAGCTTTTCATTAAGGGTAAAGTGGGTAAAATGAAAAGTTTAAAGTTAAATTGTTTCCAAATATAGAAACATGTCATTGTTTTTGGAACAGATTAATAAGGAAAGTGTGTCATTTCAATTGAAACAGAGGGAGTACCTTTATTCTCGACCTTCTATCCTAATCAACACAATTGTATTTAATTCCCTACTCCCTAGAACTATGTTTCAATGCAAGATTTATCAGAAACATATAGGCTCAATCATAGTATCTTTCACATAAATTGAGCAGGAATAAGGCTAAGTTGCTCGGACTCAGGTGCGGGTGTCCGATACGGTTGCGGATATAGAGGTCGGATCCTTCATAATCTAAATTTTAAGATTCGTGGGTAAAGATCCAGGTACATATACAGGTGCGGGGATTTCCCTAAAAATACTTCAAATATCTAAAAATAGAGTTATAAAAATATGTCTAAATTATGATACATTATGTGGAAAACTTATAAGATATTCCGAGAAGGAGAAAATATTGATCAAGAAGAGAATCCGGGAAGGAGATAAAAAGGAAAAGGACTGACATAGAAATTTCTATATACAAGGTATCCAATGTTCTTCAATTTCACCCTAACTTTTGTTTTGATGTCAAAAATTATTGTATCTGTCCTGAATTTTTCTATCGATTTTGATCCAAGTACCCAAAATTGGTAGACCAGATCTAGTATGGATCTCACACTCACGCCCACGTCGTGTCAAAACGGGTGCCGCACCGAAAGTGAAGAGTCCGAGCAACTTAGGAAATAAAGAAGAAGAACCC